CCCCCCCACGCGAATAAACCACACAATCACATTCCCTCCGTCCTACAATAATTGTTTTATGTGGGGTAGTGCAGGGCACACACATTTACCACCTGAGGAACTGTATTACTTTTAGTACTTAGACTCACCCCTTCCCCAAAAAGTTAGTTTGTGTTAAGTAAAGAGGCCCTAGTGCTAGAATGAAGTGTTATTGTCATTCCTCAAGAGACACCAAAACCAAGCACCAATGTTATAATTGATATTCCCACAGGAATGTAAAAGGACCCTTGAAGAGAATGTCACTTTTCTTACCTCTCCATCGTAGCTGGAGGTAGCTAGAAGATTTGGTGGACAGACAGCCACTGAAAGAATATCTTCTTTATGACCGTTTAACTAAAATATAAAACGTAAAAAAAAAACCAGTTCCTATCTGATATAGTTAGCCCTAAAACTTAACAAACTACAAACTAGCTGTAATAAAGAAACTTCTGAATGATTGTGCTGGTACGCTAGTTATGGCGCGCTTTTGTTCAGTGCTCTTCCAATCAAGAGAAGGATACACGCGACTCGTAAAACATCTACTTACCAAGTCATCCGACCAGTCAATATAGGGGCGTTGAATATGGTGAATATCATCGATATCATCCTAAAACGTGCGCAAAAAAAGATACTTTAAAAATGCCGTCATTGATGGGAAAGATTAGGAAATGATTGGGGTTTTCCTAAATGAAATTCTGCAATATCTAGTCCCAGAATTCCGTTTCAATGCAACTCAGTACCGATAATCTGGTAGAGTTTTTCGATTCATCTTTCTGGCTATTTTGATAAGCCTTTGTTACACAGAAGGATTGAATTATGTTGTTGAGTTTTTGAAACAGGTTTTTGTGGCAGTTACGATAGAGGATAAAATTCAGGAAAATTACAGGACTCTATTGAAACTAGCCTGTACTAAATTAGATGTTCCTGTTAAAATATTTAATAAAATAAAATGAAAATAAATAAATAAAAATCTCAAATCTATGCATTACTTACAGAGAACACGTTTATTCTTCTATCCCACCCAACCGATATGATATATCTGGAAGAAAAAAGATTTTGAAGTAAATATACAAATGTATTAGGAAAGAATATAAGATTGAAAAATTATGCAGGGTGGTCATAACTTCAGTAAATGTTTTGAAGTATTTTTCATACCTGTTTTTGTGCATGACTATGTAAACAAGGTCTGTAACCTCGTCTATATCCTTTTCTGAAAGAAACAGAAAGAAATCTTTGAGAAATGTTGATTTAATATAAGTAGTATTAGAACTCGGAAGTACCTTTTTCTAACGTTCTAAGACAATGTCCATTGTTATAATTCCATATTCGCAGGCGACCATCACGACCTCCTGTTATCAACCTGTTAAAGTGGTCAAAGAAAATCGCGTCTAAGAACTTGATAATAAGTTCTGGACTATACATTAGATCGCGCCAAGCCACGGCGCACGTGTAGCCACGCCCACCAAACACATGCACACGCTTGTCCTAATTAAAGTGGAAAAAGGTAATGGCGTTTAAAGACGTATTGTTAGATGTACTGCGCGAAGAGTAGCCAACGCCCTGTCTAGCTTCTCCTGTGCGAAGGGGGTTAAGAGTGTGGTATAGGTGTGTGCTGTATGCTGGCAGGTACTACTGACCTTCTCTCAGTAGAATCGAACGACATACAAGTTATAGCGCTATCCCCGTGGAGTTGGTTGAATTCAAACACGTGGTTACCAGTCTCTATGTCCCACACGCGACAAACCTGAGATAGAACAAAATTGACCAATGAAAGTCAAGGAAGAGAAAAGACAGTTGTTGGACAATTAACTTGGAGACGGGCGGGTCAGCGGCACCGTTAAGGCCATCATTGCACATGCGCGTATGACGCCGACGCGGCAGCTCAGTTGCATGGTTTGTTCTGCCAGTGCTTTTGTTTGCTCAGTCGTTGCAATGCTATTTTTGCTTAAACTGCCTAACATTTTAAGTAAGCAAAGATTTGAGAACCTTATCGGTCTCGTTTAAACTCATTTGAACTCCCTCTTAGTTATTAGTGTGCACAAAGCAAAATAATACCAACGCTCTAACTTACCGATCCTTCAGACGCTGTTAACACGTGTTTAAAACTCTTGTTGTATTTGATTGACGTGACGGGTTCTTTGTGAGTCGTAGTTACCTCACGTGACGTGGGTCTGAAGAGAAATAAAAGAGATACTCGTACATGTCTCACTTTGTATGGTCTTGCTCGATAGTTTACATTACCTTATTTTTAAGGGTAGTAAGGCGACTTGATCTGATGTTGCTACTGCCAAACCTCTGGATATCGGATTGTAATGGATGGCTAGAGGTAAAGATGGTCAAAATTCAGTAGGAAAAAAATTAAACGTTGCATGAAAACACGAAAGAAACCACACTTTTTCTCGATGGAGTTTGTGGCATTTCTTTTGTAGTTCCATGTTAGCCTCGCATTCAATACAATTCAGTTAAGAAGGGTGCATTAGGACTATGGTATCGCAAGTAGTTCAAGACCCCTCCCCCTGTCGGTACTCATCCCTTGTACCCTCCTGGCACACTAACTCACCTGATAAATCACCTCTAATTTTATGCGCCTTTGGCCTCACGGTTAAAAGACACGTTTGGTCATGAAGGTCCCAGACCTATAACACAACATACGTAATTCATATTTATATAACTAGGCATATGGCTTATTACGTTTTTACCAACCCCGCCCCCTCCCTACCCCTCCCTCCCCTGTGGTATAGCCAAGTACTGTACCTTGATGGTTTTATCGGTAGATATACTGAATATTCTATCGTCTTCAGGAGAAATGAATAGATGAAATATAGGTGCTGTGTGTCCTCGTAAGATACCTGTTGGTTTACTGGGGAAAGAAATTCGACGTTTGGTCAGTGGATGCAATTAAGTCGAAACTTGAGTTTGGAAAAGACAATTGGACAAAAGGGGGACAGGCCTTGAAACAACATGGGACCGTATAGGGACAACACAGTGCAGAGACAGGAGGGATAAGAGGGACCACAGGAGAGACCACAGGGGACGAAAGAGACAACATGGGACAACATGGGACCCTATAGGGACAACACAGTGCAGAGACAGGAGGGATAAGAGGGACCACAGGAGTGACCACAGGGAACAGAAGGGACAAGATGGGACCATATAGGAACAACAGAGACATCAGGGACAGGTCATAGAAAGGTAGGACAGGAAATTGACACCGAGGAGACATCTGAAACAGTACATGTATAAGTAAGAGTAATCACAAATATGAATCAATCAAACATCTTAACTGTATGTTTGACGTACCTTGGGACATATGGATTCCACATCCTTACCAAACGATCCATCCCTAGATATTCCAAATATTAATGTAAGATATCGACTGCTAAAATRAAAATAAGATAAAAAATATAGCATTACTTACCTCCTGTGACAATTAAATTCTTTTCCTTACAAAAATCGAAAGTCTTGACGCCTTTGTAAACGCGAAACACAGTTTGGTCAGCGTCCAATCGGCGACGAGGTTGAGTGTCACGTGCTGCAGTTGTGGCGGTTTTTCTTCGGTCGTTTGTTGGGTTCATTTGTGATTCTGTACTACCCGTAGTCTGCCCTGTATGATGTAACAATAAAAACACATAATTAGATGAATGATGAAAAAGATGGCGACATACAACCATCAACCATGCGTGGCTCTTCTGAGAGGTTTGGTCCACACGCACTACCACTACATTCACTACTTACGACTCAAATGTTGGTTTTTACGAAGGGAGGAAAACCGGAAAAAACTCGTCAATCAAATTATCAAACCAGAGGACCGAGGCATAAGCCACGCAGAGTTGAGAAAAAGCGCAAGGATACCAAGGGAATATACAGCTTCCTTGACGTCAAAATATTATACAATTCCACTCACTTAAGAGGTATAAATAAACCAGTTAAGCAACTTCTTACCGATAACTAAGCCTGTTTCTTGGTGATTGGAACATGATATGACAGCTCGAAGAGAGTCGTAGTACCGAAGCTGTGATACCCAATCATTGTGGACCTTCCATCTGTAAAACACATAACATCAATAATACACTAATATGTAGTAATAGGTTTAATGAGGCTTTAGCTTTCTCTATTCGTGTTTCAATGCAGTGATCAAGTGTGTAGAGGGAAACACGCCTTACCTTATAAACTTTGTGTTTTCAGAGTTGACCACACTGTTGAACAAAGTTTCGGAACGTTAAAATTACAACATCAATGCTGGGCAGAGATTGCCGCCAAGAAGTGGTCCAGGAAGACAGGACAAATCTTCCTTTTCGTTTCATATTTTCGAATACCTTGTTCATGATAATAAGGTGTACTGTCATATCATACTAATTCAGTATTTCGATCTCTAATTACAACACATATTGATAATGACAGTTTTGAAGCACTCCTTCCTCCTGGATGTATCCTTGATTATCATTATCCAAACAAAGCATCACATCGACCCCGTTGAGCTGCGCCACTGCTGTACTTGCGATGGTGATTAGGGATAACGAGTTGTTTAATCTAGTTGTTTTCGTTCGTTCCACACTTACCTGTCGATATTAACGCTTGCAATGCCTTCTACTTTTGGCATCTTTTTCCAGTTTCTGGAAGAATGAGAAACATTTTCTTCAGTAAAGTTATAAGATTCTACTCAATGCCATAGCATATAGTGAGGCAAGAGCCCCAGAGAGGGACGGGTTGGGGTAAGTTGACTCTAGTCCACACCCCCCCCCCCCTGTTTTTTCCTCATATCCAATAAATGTTCAATTCTCAGACCCCCTTATAACTACTTACTAGTATGCTATATTTTCCGATACTTATCCCACCCCCCCACACACACAGACACACACACCACACACAACATTCAAGGGTCCCCCACAGTCCTTGAGAGAAAATTACTCACCTTAATGTTTCGCCCATAGAGCGCAAGATAAAAATGTTGACACACCCCTACGAATAAAAATGATCATTTTCAGTCATGATATCAACATTATATAGTCTTCCAAACATGCCAGATATGGTAGAGACATAAATAATTTCTGGAAGAACTATAATTGGGCTTTACAAAAGATTTTTAAGCTAACCTGACTATCGCCATATATAATAATGCATTCATCTGGGCCAGTAGAACTGCAATACAAAACAATATTGTTGAATAAAATGAATAATATTGGGAGTGTAAATAATAAGGTTTATGAACTTCAATGGTAAAAGAAGATGCCATGGGAGGGGGAAGACTTGCGCCATGTTGACCTCTCTTGTCTCTAACTACGTACAGTCTTTTATTAGAGTAAACCGAGCAAGAAACATTAGAAAGAGGGATATGCCGGACAAAAATGGAGTCAAGAAGCCAGCTAACAGTCACAAACATTTTGCTAGTTAAAGTATCTGATGATTCAGGAACTAGAAGGAGCAAGGATGGATGAATKGAAGAGTGGGATCATAACTGAAAAAGGGAGGGATGGAATGGGAGGGAAGAGAAAAAGAAAAGAAGATATTTTCATGCTGTCTCTCTTAACTCAAAGTAGACCTTGTTTATATATAGTACTGACCAGTAGTCTAGTCGCAGAGGAGTAGTTTCCAGCCCACTTATCTGACAGTATGGCTCAAATGTTGAAAGCTCAAAGAACTGGATTTCTCTATCACTACAGAAATAATGACAATATACTCAAAAAAATTAATATTAACTGACTCGCAAAATGTACCAGATGAAATCAATAAACAATTAATGTATAGGACTATACATTGTTTTTCCATTTTCTATTTTCCATTTTCTTTTTCCCATTTCTCATTTTTKATTTCTCATTTTCTATTTCCCATTTTCATTTTCTAATTCCCATTTCCTTTTTGGATTCTGCCTTTATAATTAATACTTGAGAAGAAAATTCAAAGAACCTCTATGTTCTCAACTCCATTGTAAGAAAATGGGAAGTGGGAAATGGGAAGTGGAAATGGGAAGTGGACAATGGGAAGTGGAAAATGGGAAGTGAAAAATGGGAAGTGGAAAATGGGAAGTGAAAAATGGGAAGTGAAAAATGGGAAGTGGAAAGTGGGAAAGCATATCCATCTTGCTGCTAAAGAAAATTTTCCAGTGAGCAGAGGATTCAGTCATTTTTAAAATAGGAGACTTGACAAAATAGGCAGCTATATGCTGCACTAGATTAATGTTAATAGTTTTCCATTTGATCGTGAAATGTACCCAGGTGTGAGGGATGAAGTACCCAGTGATCAACCACCAGTGGCCACCTTCTCTGAAGCCTCTGGTGAAAGGTCATGTCACAACTGATGCTGCACAGTAAATACCAAGTTATCTTACCCAGTAGAAATAATAAACTTGTTATACTGAGGTACCAGAGCAAAGTCTGTGATCCATTTGTTTTTCTTCGAGGAACTTTCAATCTTTTAGAAAAAATATAACCTGATAAATAACACTGAATTTAGGAGAAAAAAATTAAGATTGATGGCAGCAAATTTTCAATGTGTTTCTTACATGTTTCATTCTCTTGAACTCAAGATTTTGGGACCAAAAAGACACAAGGCCATCCTAAACAAAATATTAATACAAAAATCAAAATGACATGGTTGTGTTTTATTTGCACTATATGGTTTATATCACCATAGGACAACAAGTATTTTTACTATTCTATGCAATGTACCATAAAAAATTCGATTTTTTTTTTTTTTTTTCCCATTTTTTTTGACATCTTATTGACAACTTTTTGACAAGTTTTGATTGTTGTTTTTACATCAAACCAATAATGTACAAACATTGCTTATCGAAACATCGAAGTGAAGCGCCAATATCTAATTGGTTAGTAGTTATGAGCTCATTTAAAACTTATCAAAAAGTTGTCAAAAAGAAATCAAAAACTTGTGAATGTGTTAACAGTAAGATGCGTAACGTAGTGTGATATAAATGCATAATGAACACATACCTGACTAACGACAAGAAAGGTGTTATCAACCGTGTGACACACTCTGATGACTTGCTCTCGTTGAGGAGAATTTTCTATTAATGCAGGTAATGCAAAGGAAGTCTAGCAAAAAAAGTAGATAAGTGAATATCAAGATAAATGTTTATTTATTTAACAATTATTCGCCGAAGGTGAAGTGATTATTGGGGAATATTTACTGAGACGCAAGTCTTCTATAATCACCTGTGTATTTTTACTAAACTCATTTAAACCTAAAGAAAGCTGTCAATTTACCTCTTTGGATCTAAAATAAGAATCCTCTTTTTCAGCATACTCCAGCTGCATAAAGGTACAAAACTCATCCTGGAAAAAAATATAACAAAAAAATTAGTACATAATAATTTTAAGAGTAGGTTGATGTGACAAGCATATGGGGGGGATTTCATTTATTATCCCATGAGAGGGGGGGTCGGCCAAATTGGAGTAGGGGTTACGTTATTTTAAGAAAGTGGTTAGGGAGGTTATCGCATATTGAGGGGGTTTGAGAACTACACTGTATTCCAGGATAAAGGTAAGGTGGGTTATGCAATTGTTGCCTTTTTCATGGAGGAGGGTTGGGTTAGTAAAGCTTTCCATGTGATTTTGTAAACCCCCCCCCCCCTTTGTGCTAATAAATAAAAGCCCCCTAAAGGATAAAGGAAATAGAAACAAAGGATTGAGAAAACATTGATATACTAACCCAATTGATTTCTCCATCAGATGAGGAGTCAATCTTCATAAACAATGATGTAACTTGATCAACACTCTATTCAGATAAAATCAAAACATTGAATAAAAGTCACATTAGAAAATAACAATTTAAATCTAATTTTCAGGTTTATTGGCTGGTGGTGCAGTTTTGAAATACCTGAGGGAAGAAAAAGCCCCTGGGCTCACCTCCCTAGGCTTTCTGTCTTTTCTCACACCCCAGGGGGTACTGCCCTATATTCGCTGTACGGGTACGTGCCGCCAAACAGGGTATGGTTTTCAGTGATTTTACTCTGGAACAGGATATATAAAATTGCTCTCACTCTGGGACAGGGTATATGAAATCACTCTCTCTCTCTGGAACAGGGTATCTATTTTCACAATACCGGAAAAGGGTATGGTTTTCAGTGATCTTGCTCTGGAACAGGGTATGAATTTCAGCGATTTTACTCTGGAACAGGGTCAGGGTTCAGAGGGCTCAGCGGCATATCCCTACCCTAAATGGGCAAGAGTACCCCCCAGGTCTCACACCTGTTGGGAAAGAGCTGCAGAGACTCAGTCTGCAGATTTTTTATTGATCCTGCTTATGTTTAATTTTTTTTACATTTTTTAAAATAACTTTGTGGAGGGTAAAACCTTTTTATTTCGAAAAAACCTACACTGTAGTTCCTTTTTTACTTACATGTATAACAGGGTCATGAATATCTTAAATGAAATGATGTGAAATGGGGAGGCTACAATCATTTAACAAAATTTACTGCTGCAATGATTAATCACCTAGCCCTTGTTCTCCCCCGCCCCCTTTCTCCCCCATAAGGTTCTTCCATTAGTGCTTTAAGAATATGAAAATTTAAACAAACCTTGAACTTGGTTCCAAATAAATTTTGAATGACATCTTTAAATTCTTCTAAGTCCAAAGTGCCATTACCATCTGAATCTGCTTCCTATATTCAAATATACAAAGTTAGACTTTTGGGTAATGGCCAAATAAAGAGAGTTGAGATTGTGAAAACATGTAAGTGAAGTAGAGATAACAGAAAATAATAGGGTTTAAGTTAAAAGACGACTGCACAAACAGGATGTTGAGTAATATAAATTTTATAGAGCATTCTTTGCCTTTCATCATTTAGGACCAAGATAAGCCTATCAGATATGTCTAATCTTTAGAACTAAGAATTTGGACTACTGACACAATATAATACAGATAACTGCATTCGATAAATATATTTATATCTGTAGTGTCTGGTCAAGAGCTCCATTCTGGCTGAATATAATGATATTTAGACCTTAACAGTAATGTAAAAGCAGATTGAATGTGCTAGGTATTGAAAATGAAGCTGAATTGACAAAAGATTATAATATATAGCCCAGCCATCTTGGGACCAATGCAGACACACTTATCTGTGACCAAAAAAATCAAGTGACTGAAAAAGTAAGGGATTTAAGAAGGATTAGAATGAGAATGTGAGCAGAAAATAATTTACATATAAATTGTATAATATGCTCACAATGAAGATTGCATTCAACCCATTATATATCAAGCCCCTCTTTTGGCTGGCCTCAAGTGCCTCTGGAACTTGGGTAAGGCAATGTTGAATTCTCTTTAATTCTAAATAAGGAAACCTCTGCCAACAAACATGGTATATATCAGAGTAAATGGTTTGAACCCAGATGTTAAAGTTGTGAAGTGTGATCGTCCGGATTAGTGTAATCTTAAGAAAGGCCGTTGTTGGTGGTGAGTGACGTTTCGACAACCTGAGCGGAAGTCATCTTCAAAGTCCAGAGAGAAAACAAGAGACAGTCAATGGTATCTATACTTCTGGTTCGATCAGGTACTGTATATATCCTGAGAATGAATATTTTCAAAATTTCAAAAAAATTAATAAGTAAARTTTTTCATTTACCTCAAATGCCTGGCGCATGCGATACAGATGATCCAATGTTATTCTGTCTTCCAACTATAAGATACAGTAGTAATAAATTGTATGAAAGTATGAGCATTAACATATAACGACTCTAAAAACAATATACGTTCTTGAATTGTAAAATTGTTGTTATTGTTTTCTATGTGTCAACAAATTAACTTTGCTCTAGAGGGTTGGAATTCAATTACTGCAATTTTCATAAACATGCAAACTCTGTGACTGCGAGCTGCACGCTGAAATTTGGTTTTTCGCTGCCATTAAACAAATTAATCAGTCTGTACCTACATGTACCATATTTTTGACTGGAGGCAGTAAAAAACCCAATTTCAGCGTACAGTTCACAGACACAAAAAAATTGTAGCAAGGCCCACTTTACRAGAAGGGAGTGTTACCCTAGTACTAGGGTTACCCGTCAGGTAGAGGGTCAAAAGATAGCTTGGCTTTACAAGGGAAAAGATAACCCTAGCGCTAGTGCTAAGTATATGAAGGGATGGTTACTTAGGTCAACAAATACTTCAAAAAATTGYGGACTACAAGAAAGAGCTCATAATTATCGACATCTTCGATGCAAGGAACTTCTTTGCGTTTCTTTTTCATTTRTACTTGAACCTTGTTCCGCCATGATGGCCGTTTGTTTATTTGTGCTGCAGGAGGTCTGTTGTCCCGAGAAGGGGAGTTATCCCTAGCTGACAACTTTACAAGGGATAAACTTAACCCGGGCAAAAGGGTTTCCCTACCTAACAGACAGGGTAACCCTAGTGCTAGGGTAACCCAGGTGTGTTTGTTAAGATGTCAAGATAAATAAGAGAAAATGCATAGAAGCTAGGGTAGCCCTAGTGCTAGGGTAACCCTCTCTCCCTGTAAAGAGGCCCTAAAGTTCGAAAAATGGCAACCATTTGTTATTGTTTCTTCTGGTAGGTCTAATAATCAACATTTCTTATGCAAGCTAAAGACATTTATTTGGAATTTCCTATGCTTAATGTCAGTCAGCTTCGATGGCTTAAAATAAATTGAATTAATTAATATAAGCCGTTGTTAATTATTCATTTTGACTCAGGACACAGGGAGCTTTACATAGCCATAAACGTAAAAAAAATAAAGAAAAGAAAAACAATACTCTGACAAGAATCATAAATATTGTTTAAATATAGCTATAAATCTTAACTTACTTAGTTTAGATCAATTAAAGGGGATCGACATGTCTGGGAACTAATAGTTCTCTCTTTTGCTTTTAACGAGCACTTATTTTAATGCAACGCCACTTAGACTAATATTACTGTAAACGATTTTAGTTTTCTTGAGCTAAATCTTTCGTGTATATAAGCACTAAAAGGAACACGTTCAGGCTTTTAGTCTTAAAGTATAAACCCTCAGTACTTAAAGACGAAAATGTAATCAAGTAAAGTAAGCTTTTGAAAGCTCAAGGAATTCAGCCATTTACGCCTTCAACACACGATCATGATTATTAAAAGAAATAAAAATATTATAAAAGTATAAGTATGAATAGGGACGAAGAAGGCATTTTTTTGGGATTACGACACTGGATATAAGGGATGGATATCTTGATCGCGAAGTTCTAGAATCGGACAAAGAACATGTACAGTAGTACTCTATCCACATACCTTGAGCTGTTTAGACAATCCTACAGCAGTCGATGGCCTTTTCGGCTGTTCATGCTCCTCAAACTCCTCGAACCCTGCAATCGTAGCTCTCCTAGCGATCCCAAATTTGAAATCATTCTCGGGGATCCCTCCATGAACTTGTCGGCCTCGAACACGAGAGATAATCGGTGCACCAGGAATATGATGTCGAGAAGTAATAAACGTTGGATCGAGTCCTACAACGGCTTTATCCGGTGCAGTAACTGGTCTAATATCATCTAGAATCCCAGTAATTTCATTGCTTTGTAGGACTCCAGAGGCTGTAGATGGCCTGATCTTTTTTAATGCCTTCAGAGGCGGCATTTTTTGCCGTAAGTGAAACAAGTGATAGTCCTCTGAAGCCCGAATGTTTTGCTGTTTGATTTGAGTAATCTGATTGGCTGATGAGTTGCTAGATAGCAACAGCCTTCGCGCCATTATTCAAAATATTCTAACCAAATAAAAGCGCTATATTTACAAATATGTTTTTCAGCAAGGAAAGAAAATCAAGCCATTAACATGCTTTCTCGAAAATATAGAGAAACTATACAGTCATTTGTTCAAKTAGAACGTTTTAATTCGAAGGGTTTGTGACGTCATAGACAGGGTCGAAGTCGGGAATCCAAAAGTTGAGGAAATTAATGAAAAGGAAACACAGGACAAAAAAATCATAGTCAAAGTCATATAACATAATAACAATTAATAATTTAATGAATTTCTATAGCGTCATATATTACACTCTATAACGCTTTACAATTTATTTCCAAACATAAAATATAGAAATATATATATATAGAAACCCTCGCACTCTGTCCAAGCCGGCCCATCAGAGCCCCAAACCGTGGCTACTGCTAGTGCTCGCCAAGCCGATTCAGACAGAGTACCTGCGTTTCACAAAATTTTAAACTCTACTTTAACCCCAAATCCGCACATAAAGCTGAAGGAAAAATAGAAAGAGAATAAATGAATATAGAGAATGATTGCTCCAGTATGCTTATTCTTATTTCATTTCCGCAACTGAACAAGGCCATGAAGACTGATAGAAAACAGCTAGAAAACCAAACGATTTACAGAAAAAATATGTCAGCCATGCATGCATAGCCTCTTGCGCAGCCGCTGTAAGGCGCTTCCGGTTCCCGTCATTCCTACTTAGTGGGGTAAAGACGGGAACCGGAAGTGCCTCACGGCATCTGCGCAGGAGGCTAGTCTCCTTCACAGTTCCCTGCGCCATCTTGAAAGGTAACCGTTCTGTGCATCGAAGCTAGAACAGCGGTGACCTCTCTATAGAACCCTTTTTTTAACACCTTGAACAATATTTATTCACTTTTCTATCATTGCAAGGTCACCGCTGTCCTCGCTTCGATGCACACTGAGGTATTACCTCTCGATGGCGCATTGTAGTGTGAAGGGGACAACTGCGGTGTTTATTTTGAGCTCAGCCCTATCGTGTAAGTTTTACCATTCTAATAGGACGTTTGCACGATGGCATCATTGACCTCTACTACCAGACTCCCTTACACACTTTCTTTTGTTCGGTTAATTCTCATAAGGGAATACAAATTTAAATAAGAAAGAATAAGAAGCATTATGGTAGTGGGAGTCAAATAACGCCTTCATGYAAACGGCTTATAGTATCAGTGTTTAGTTTAGTTTAGTTTATTGGGATTTGCCACAAACATAATACAATTAACAACAACATGCAAAGCTAAGGGCGGCCGGAGAAGAAAACAGGACGATAGCCCCAATTGAAATTCAACTCCTTACGTTAATTAAGAAAATATAAAATATGTCTGTTTAAGGCCAAGGTAAAACGCCGCACCCCACATGAGCCGAACCCAAAGCGGAACGTACAGTCCCAAAAATAATGCTTTTCGGTTCAACYTGCCGTGAAGCATGGTGCCTGACCCGGGCCTAAAACTTAAGAATACTTATATAAACAAACTTATAAATTATTACATGAGCATCACAGATTCAGATCAGTGGATTCCATGATTAGTTGTTCATTTAATTTATTTTAGTGTTGTACATATACGATTTCAATTATTTATTCTGGTGAGAGCATGCAGTGGTTAATACATAATTCAACCCCCCAACTCCCCAAATCCGCACATTTCATGGCCATAAAGTATCAAACTATTACAAATTCCTGTTATGACTGTATTTTATTGCATCAGTGTTCGGCATCACTATATCAGTACTTAACCACATGGTCAGCCTAGTCTTGCAACCATGCTATTAATTTTAATTCTAGGAGCTGTTAGAGTACCGTAGAAGTAGTTCAGTATCTGGAGTGGATAACGGCAGTCATAACACCACTAGATGTAAGTTTTTAATAGGCAATAATACTCATTTATTTTATGTGGTTTTGTATCCTAAAAGCTAAGAAAGGTAAGATTACAGGCGCTTAGGGGTCTCTGGTGTTTATGGCCAGACTCATTATGAGGGCTTTTTGTGATTGATTGGCGATCACAAATCACTTGATCCCTAAATTTTTTCATACGACTGCGATATCCCTGCTCACAACCACAAGGTAACCGGATTGATTATATTCTATTCACAGCACGTATCTGGGGGAAAACTTAACCTTCAAGCTAAGGGGCTCGGAGCGAGAGAGCGTCTAAAATTAAGCAGCTTGACAAACAGAATCATACCGAAATACGTACAAATGAACAAATTCTAATTCCTAATAATAAAAATCAAACTGAAAAGGCAAGGAGAAGAGTTAATGAGAAATGATACTGCAGGCCGGACGATCTCTGTCTAGAAAACACAGTCATATAGATAAAGGTCACATTACAGATATATTTGATACGTTCTTTATATTTTAATTATATAATCTAAATTGAAACCTTTTTACTGCTAATTCCGATCCTAACATCTGGTAGACTATGATAACGAATCAGACGCGGACGGAGATGAAGGATTGTAATGGTCTGTAATTCTCGTTCGCTGCACCTGAGACGTAGTCAGAGGGGCCTGAGGTTTTCTCGGTAAGCGGAAAGGGACGGACCATTGGATATTTTAAGGAAGTGATTGCGTAAATCCTCCCAAAAAACCTATCCAGCAAGCACTTCACCGAGGAAAACAAATATCGCGCAACCGCTCCTTCCAGTAAAAATATCGAGAGCAAACACAAA